GTTCATAATAGCGATAATACCAGGGTCGGATGCAAGCATGTGCATTCTCTTTAAAGCATCAGCAGCAGGAGGGTTTAACTGCAGGAAAAAGTTGACAGAATCATCATCATCATCTACCTTGAGGAGTTTGAAAGAGAAAGAAGCACTACAAATAGTGAGTTACTTACCTCTACACCAGGGAGTTGAAGAGTACGGAAAGCAGAGAAGATGTAAGGCCCCTGTGGGAGCTTGATTGAAGTGGTGGAGAACTTTTTTAGCCTAAGTCTTTTCTCCTCGTCCTCGAAGCCAAGTATTCTCATGTCAGATATTGCATCTTTTTGAACTTCATTGGCCTCTTCTTCAGTCATTCCCATCATTCTGATAGTTTTTCCCTAAAGAAAGTAAACCAAAGAATAAGCATTTTATCAGACAAAGACTTCTTTATTTTTTTTTTTTTTTTGCAAACCTCAGTTATGGAAGATTCGTGCAAGCTCAAGCTGGAGTGCTCATCAGAAAAGGGAAGTATCAAGTTTGAGCCTTTTTCATTCAACCGAGGAACGATCAGACGGAGCGTCTCCGCCGTAACGTCAGTTAACTTTCTCAAATCACAACCCAGATCCTTCAGGTTAGCCTTGGAATCGATCTCAACGGTGTATTTGTTTCCTCTCCAGGTGACAGACACTTTCATTCTTCTTCCACAATCGTCCATCCTGGAAGAATATATTATTTTCAAGAGAATAAAAGCAAAGGGGTAAGTAATTTTCTTCAGTAAATAATAATTACAAAAAAAAACTACGACTTCATGAAAACTACAGAGATATTCAAATCTAAAGACACAGAATAAGAAATGATCAAAAATCCCTTCCGGACAAAATCGTTTTCTAGCAATTGCGCGTTATGTTTAAGAGTCAATTTTACTGACAAGATTTCAAAATCAGACGGTCAAACTGTTCTTCGGACAACGAGAAACGATTGTCGAAATATGACCCTTAATTAGATGCCCAATTAAGAGTTGAAAGGTAAAATCAAGAGCCTAAGGGGGACTATTAGAATCAAAGGAAAGGAAAGCTTACCGAACTATGGATGGATTAAATTTTAGCTAATTACGACGATCGTTGATGTGGATCAACTTTCTCTCTCTCTTCTTTCTTTTTATTTTATCGGAATTTGAGTTTCGCGTTGCTCTGGTTCTCGGGAGATTCACTTTTTCTTTAATAGATTAGCTAGGTGGTGTTTGTTTCACCTCATCTCCGTTCAGTTAATCCATCTAGATGATTATCTAAATGGTCCATCCAAATTTTTTCAGATTGTTTGTTTATCCATCCAAATGGTATATCTAGATAGATCATTTAGATAAATTCATGTTTGTTTATCTACTTTTCATTTCCATCCACAAGAATTTAATAAAAAAAATTACCAAAATATCCTTGTTTTGATTTAATAATATGTATGATATTTATTTTAACTATATTAACTTTTATAATTTTGATGGGAAAATGTTTTTTTTTTTTTTGCGATTTTGGTGAAAAACACATTTTTGCAATTTTGACGGAAAAACGCATTTTTACGATTTTGAAGGGAAAACGTGTTTTTGCGGTTTTGAAAGGAAAACGTGTTTTTGCGGTTTTGAAGGGAAAACGTGTATTTGCAGCTTTGACGGGAAAATGTGTTATTATGGTTTTGACGGGAAAACGCGTTTTTCGGTTTTAACGGAAAAATATATTTTTAACAGGAAAACGCGTTTTTGTGGTTTTACAAGGAAAACGAGTTTTTGCGGTTTTGATAGAAAACACGTTTTTGCGGTTTTGATGGAAAAACGCGTTTTTGCGGTTTTGACGGAAAAACGCGTTTTTGCGGTTTTGGCGGAAAAAACGTTTTTACTGTTTTGGCGACAAAACTTGTTATTTGCGATTATGGGGGAAAACTCGTTTTTGTAGTTTTGACAAAAATGTGCTTTTGTGATTTTGAAGGGAAAACTTGTTTTAGCGATTTTGGCGGGAAAACTCGTTTTTGCAATTTTGACGGGAAAACATATTTTTACGGTTTGACAAGAAAACGTATTTTTACGGTTTTGACGGGAAAACGTATTTTTACGGTTTTGACGGGAAAACGTGTTTTTACGGTTTTGACGGGAAAACGTGTTTTTACGGTTTTGGTGGAAAATGCAATTTTGTCATTTTATGGAGAAATGCAGTTTTGCCATTTTTTTGTAAGTTACAAAATATAGTATGTTTAGATTTGTAATTTGTGAATTATATAAGGGATATAATAGATATTATACAATTTTGGAAGAATCATCTCCATCCAAATGGTCCAAATTGGTCCATCCAGATGGACTTCAAAATTAAGTCTAAAATTTCAAAATCATCCAGATGATCCATCTAGATGAGTTGTACTTTTAGTGTCTAAACAAACAAAACTTTCATCTCCAACCAGATGAGTCATCTGGATGGTGAAACAAGACTTATTCTTGGGTTCACCCCCTGGGGTGAACCTCTAGATTCACCAACCAATAGGATGATGTTATTTCATATTTGATATATTTTTAAAAAGGAAACAAAATCTTGTCAAGTTATGTTTTTAAAATAAAACTAGAAAAAATAAATAAGAATAATAATATTTACAAAAAAGGAAAAAAATTCTTTAAAAATATATTTTAACATTATATTATGTTTTAAAATAAAAGATAAAAATAAATAAAACATTAATAATTGCAAAAAAACAATTTAAAACAAAAAAAATTTTAATATATTTTAAAAATAAAAACATGTCTTTAAAATAAAAAGATAAAAATAAATAAAAACAGTATAATTGATTAGTATTAATTTATCCAAGGATTGAGCTTTTTCCAAAGGGTTTATGATTTACCCAAGGGTTTAGGGTTTAGGATTAGGGTTTAGGGTTTAGTATTAGGGTTTGGGGTCTAGTGTTTTAGTATTAAATATTTTTTTAAAGTTTTTTTTTCCTATTTTAAATATTATTATTTTTTATTTATTTTATCTATTTTTCTTTTAAAAACATAATATAACTTAACAAGATTTTATTTCCTTTTAAAAAAGATATCAAACATAAAATAACACCATATTATTGGTTGGTGAACCTAGAGATTCACCATAAACGGTGAACCTAAGAATAACTCGTGAAACAAAGAGGCCCCTACTCTTACAAATGCCTCTCGTTATTATTACAATTCTTATTTTCCAATAAATTTGCTCAAAAAGCCTATTTTCCACTAAGCCCAACATTATTGGATAACTAATGTAAAATTCTATTTCATTACTAATTTGAAATTAGTAAAATATTTATATAATGTTTTATAGTTAAGATGTTGCTAAAATCTTTTTAACAGATTTGTTAAAAAGAAGGGAAATTGCAGTGTACACACAAGACTTATGTCTTAATTAGTATAATACACATTTTCCATTATCGAGACAGTTGCAGGCAGTGTTGTTTTACCATTTTAACCTTCTCCTTTCCCTTTCTATGTCCACCGGTTACATGTTTCCCTTTTATTTATTTTTTCATTTTCTTTTGTGATAAACCAAATCACACGCAATCAAACCTGTCAGGCAAGTGGAGGCTTTTGCAAGTATCGAAACTTCCCCATTTGCTTGTTAATATTGGTAACATAAACCTTTTCAAATCCCTATGTCTATATTATGTTCTGTAGATCCATTATTCTTCTTCATCTCTCAACCTCAGATTAATAACAAGTCTAGATATATCACAATCATCTCCTCTTTTTCATCACCCCCGATGGATCAAAGCGATGAAAACCACTCTCCACCCCCATTCCCTCAGCGAATGTTCGCAATAGGCGATGAACCTGTCGGCGTTAGAGTCACACCCTACCACAAACCTAGATGCATTCGCAAAATCCTTGACGCTTTGGAAGCAGATGAAGTCCAGTTCATCAAGGACACCCCTTTCGGCAAACTTGTCGAAATTGCAGAGTCTCCTCCGTTCTCCGGCAGATTTGGTCGGTTTCTTTTATCAAGACAATTGAAGGTCGTCAAGAAGCATGAAGTCTGGTTTTTATTTGCCGGTAAACCAGTTAGATTCTCTCTTAGGGAGTTTGCTCTAGTCACTGGTCTTAATTGCCGAAACTACCCTCGTCCTACAAAGAAGAATAGTATGAAGAATATGTTAGAGAGGCCATACTGGGGAGAGCTTTTTGGGTCTATGAGCGAAGTTACAGTCAGCTATGTTATTACCATGTTGAAGAAGAAGACGGTAGCTGCTAAAGAAATGAGATTAAAGTATGCTCTACTTGCATTACTTTCGGCTGTCATCCTCCCCACATGCCATAATCCTCGCATCTTGCATTCATACGCAGAGAAGATCAAAGAAATTGATAATTTCCTTGCGTATCCGTGGGGATGCACATCCATCGAATTGCTATTAAGTTCGATTAAAGAGAGGGACAAAGTATCTCTATCTCAGAAAACGATTGCTCTTAAAGGGTTTGTTCTAGCCATACAGCTTGTCATGATAGAAGCAGCTCCTTCACTCCTTCGAGTCGTCCAAGCAGGCGGGTCATCTGGATCTGAAGGATCAGACGACGATGACTTTGTGGATGATGATAACGAGGGGAAGAAAAGCATAAATTCGGCCCGTGTGCGTGATATAGATTCATCATGCAAGGTATATGTTCATTTGTCCATTAATTATCTCACTAGAAATGTTTTGTAATCCTGTTTTCTTTTTTTAACAGATTGACATTGTTTCCATTATTGCTGAGGGAGTTGAGCTTGATAATGTTAGTCCGGAAATCCATTGGTCCGACGATGAAGATGACCTTCTTGTGCTAAACTTGGAGAAGTCTATTCAGAATGGCTTTAGTTTCACCAATGCTAATTTTGTCGGTGGCGCGACAACAGCCGATGTTAATCGCATGCGTGAAGATGCTCAAAAAGAACTCAAGTCACGCAAGAAAAAAAAAGACCTAGACCAGACGTTAACACTCCTAGGCTAGATGCTGAATATGTTGTTACCACTGTGAAAAACTGTTTTCTGCAGACATGGCTCGGCTAGAGGAGGAAATCAAGAACATAGGCCAGACGGTAACAGAGTCGCACAGGCAGATGCGATGTTGCATGCAAGACATGTTTGATACTTTTCAGAGGAACATTGCTAACATGATCCCCACACAGTGCTCTCGAGCCCACACTGATACCCCCCATGATTCTCAGGCAGATATCCCTGATAATGGGAACAAGTCAGCCTCACAGCCAAACACGTCTGAAACTCGCTCCATCATCCAGGATGCTTTGTTGTTCGCTAGAACAGTGGCTCCAATCTCAGAAAATGTAAGTATCATCTAAAACCTCAGTCACAAACCACAACCCATATGTTTTACAATTGAATATAATCGTTGCTGTTATTTCTTACAACATTGTCTAGGTCCCGTTTGCCGGAAACTCACTCAATTGAATATAATCGTTGCTGTGTTTCATTGTTATGATGGCTTTTGTGTCTTATATTTATGTCTTGCATGTATGTTAACTTATATAATATTATGTTAACTCTTGTAATGGTTGTTTAGCCAGCCAACAAATTATAACACTCGTATAAAAACTAAAACTAATTTGTTAGGCTAAAATAGGAAGAGGAATTTTTTATTTATAATAACAAGGCTATACAACCATAATTCCTACAACCACTCATGGATTGGACAACTACTACTAATATCCCCCACAAGATAATTAGTCATGTCTCATCATGAGTCCACCGCTTTCCATTACAACTCGTCCTGTAGCCTTAAATCTCCTCCTCTATGCTTCACTTACTTTAGTTATATTGCTTCCTTGCAAGTGGCTTTGTTGTGTCCAAAACCCTTGCATCGGCTGCACAAAGTCCTCCTATTGATACGTTTCATCTGTAAAAAATATGACACACACAAGTTGTTAATTAATCTAGTCTTCTCATCACTCTTTATCTATGTCTAATCAATTTTACTTTGAGAAACTTACAATCTTCTCTCCCCTTGAAAAGAACCTTTGCTTCTTTGGCCTTCCTAGTGGGCGCCTTGTAACCGGAGGACACAAATTCATTCCCCCAAAATTGGTAACCAAATCCGACAAACCCGTGTAGTCCGGAACCGGCAACACACTCCCTGAATATGCAGACCTCAGTACCTCCACAGTATAAGCAGATAACACCAAAGAATCTACGGTGTACTTCCCTTTAAGTGTCGAAGCAATAGCGTGAGAACATGGTATTGCAAGCAATTGAAATTCGCCACAGCTACAATTTTTGTTAGCCAAGTCAACATGAAAACCGGCTCCGTTTTTGATACGCACCTCAAACTCATCTTCACCAATCATAGTCACCACATATCCACCAGTCATCTCGAAATTTTTCGAAACAATATCTGAAACCTTGGGTGTAAGTGTACCCATATTCTCCTGTGCTGCCTCCCGGCGAGATGCAAACCACGCAGTTAGCTTTCCGCGAATGAACTCAACCAAAGGTATAACCGGATATTCTCTGGATTCACGCAGCACCGAATTCCAAGACTCAGCAAGGTTGCTTGTCATTATATTGTAACGATGGCCGGTGAAATGCGATCTAGCCCAATGTTCCACCCCAATATCGAGTAGATACTCTGCACATTTGGGGTCCATTGTCTTAATCTCTGTAAATATGGTGTAGAATTCTTGCAGCCTGAATGTCCTAGCAGCCTTCGCAACGAGATACTCCAAATGACGAGCTTTGAAGTTAGACCTAATGTTCCTCTTAAGAGGAACGACGCAGGTACAATGCCCGGCAGATGGAAATACCTGTCAAATACAACAATCGTGTCAACCTTCATTCATCAAATCTATCACGCTACAAGAAACAGTAACTTGCTAAGTCTTTTATGTATAAACGTTTCATTATTATCACGATACAAGAAAAATTACCTTGCTAAGTGCTTTTTGTATAGACATGTGTCGATCAGACACAAACACTAGTCCTTGGCTGCTGTCCATAAAAGCGGACAACCTTGTGAAAAACCATTCCCAAGACAAATCGTTCTCACTGTCAACAATGACAAAAGCCAATGGCAATATTTGGTAGTTGCCATCCTGGGCGGATGCGCTTAATAAACAACCAGCATATTTCCTCTTCAAGTGCGTTCCATCAACTACAACCACTTTCCTCATGAATTCGAATCCTTCAATACACGCACCAAACGCTACAAACATATACTTGAAACGGGTTTCTCCACCTTCCAGTGTTTCTGTCTCCAGCTCAGTGATTGTACCCGGATTCGCTGCTGCAAGTCGGTGTAGATAGTCCGGTAGCTGACTGTATGATGATTGAACGGTCCCCTTGGCCTTGTCAATAGCTACATCTCTTGAACGCCATGCCTTCCAGTATGATATATCCACACCATGATCGCCACGCATCATCTGTCTTATCTCACGTGGTTTTGGGCCGCCGCATGCCCCTCCAAACTTGCTTCTCATTAGCTCACCAATTACTGAAGAAGTGGCTTGGTCTTGGTAGCCGCCACGCTCGTCTACTGTACACAAATGCTCATGCACGACCTTCCTTATTTCAAAAACATCAGCCTCTTTTAGTTTTACCGCGTACACTCTCCAAGGGCAGTCTTTACCACAGCATTCCATAACCATTAGGCCTGGTTCAGACTTCCTACTCCTGTACCGAAACTTATGGCTTATTGCATAAATGGCCATATGTTGCTTGAATGCATCTCGGTTACACTCTCCAAGGGCAGTCTTTACCACAGCATTCCATAACCATTAGGCCTGGTTCAGACTTCCTACTCCTGTACCGAAACTTATGGCTTATTGCATAAATGGCCATATGTTGCTTGAATGCATCTCGGTTCCTGAACATCATCCCCACAACAATCTCGTTGCCGTAGGACCCAAGTTCCCCTGCTTGAAGTCAAAGTTAATTTTTGTCTTGCTACAATCAAGTTTAGTAAAACCATATATACAATTATAAATTCTAAACCAAGTTAATGTTTCTGAGACAACAAAATAGGTTTACAATGACATATATATGATTATACTTCTAATCCAATGTATTTATCACTTGGCTATAAAACAAATCATACACTTTAATTATATTTGTGTTAACCAAGTTAATATTTGGTTGGCTATAATCACACACTTAGATCAGCAGTTGTTATTCAACACTAAACGAAATCATTAGTCATCTTACTATTTCCTAACAGCAAAAATTTTACTCCTAAAAATATTCGATCAACATTCTAACAATAGTTATTAGCCGACTAATAAACATCGAACACTTGCTAAAACACATTATATCCGAACAACATTGAAGCAAAATACAAAACAACGATCATATCACTACATCCCACAAAAAACATCAACCGCAGAAAAACCAGATTCCCATAGGCTAGCTATAGTTACTCAACATCCACCGTCTGTGGTACTGCCCTCAGATGAAGTATCCTCTATCCTCTTCCCAGCTTTGCTAGTTCCATCCCCCTTCACTGCACAGCACATTGCTAACTTCATCATAGGTGGGAGAGATGTACCAGAGCCACCGGCCGGACCTTCAACGGCAGCAGTGGATGACAACACAAGTCCTTCAGCAGCGATCATCTCTGCTACACATTTACCCAATAATAATCTGTCAGCTAAAATATCAATTAAATCATGTTCATAGAAATTTATAAATATCTCACCTCTGTTTGGTTCTGGGATCACGCGGTATTCATTAGTTCCCATTATTATATCATTTGGGATTTTGACTTGATGACAACCGTGCATCAAGCTAACATCAGTTGACCCAGTCGATGACCCCCCCTCATCATGTCCAACTTCATGAGTAGCCAAGTTAACGACGTCATTGTTCGCGCCATTGGTAACTGTGACCACGAGATCCATAGACACATTCTCATTACTCGGGATCAGATTCTCATTTACCTCACCCTGAGCAGCGTTATCTTGATTGACTAGCTCTTCCAAAATCTGCATCCCATTGTCAAACATGTCTTCACTAGGTATATCTGCAGGTTGAGGACATTGGTAACCTACTACGTTTATCCCGACATCCCAAAAAATTGAGGGAGCATCCTCGTTTGCAAGCGCCTGTGTTGGAGGATCACCAGCTTCAGCAACCACTGCAAGATAACGAAATTTTATACATTTTATTAGCTGGATAACAGAAACGTTGTCATCGACCGATTATTATCTGACACTGTAAATTAGCATGCTAAATAACCTCATCATTTTAATTGACTCTCACTAGTTCGCAAATGTCATTAGCTCACTACAATTTATGTACACACTCTTTACAACTATAAAACTTTTGATTCATATTATTTTGCTAAACTATAGAACTTTTTATTCATTATTATTTGACAATGTAATTTAGCATGCTAAATAAATTGAACACTTTAATTGACACTTACTAGTTTGTAAATGTTATTAGCTTGCTACAAAGAATAAAGAACAATACTTTTAGAATGCTAAACTATAAAACTCTTGATTCATATTAATTTTTAAGTTTGGTTAACAAAAAACTTATATCATTTCAACTTACTCCTACAATACTTACAATATATTAGTATTTTTATACTACACTTAACCAACAAATTAAACATCATCGTAGTTAAACAAACACATGCAAACGTTTTGATCTTAAAGATTACAAGAAAATCGAATGTCTTACCAGTTTCGACATTCGCTTGGACTCCTTCAGCCATTGAATCATCATCGTCATCAAGCTCTATTATCTCCCTAACTGGTGCGGCTGGAGGGGCTGTTCCAAATCTGTTTCGCAGGAAGTTATCCGCAAATGCCATCTCAAGAGAAACTCGATGATAAAGTACCATTGCTTCCTCGGGGAATATGGCATTCATAATCCTCTCAGTTTGTTTTCCACGATCGCCAAATACAAGATCTGCATTATTTTTCAATCATACTTCATTAGGTTACACAAGATATTTTAGCATTTAAATCTAATTATGAATACAAATTTCTCTATTAGTTTAACCACTTACTCTCATACGTTGCTCTCGAGTGTGCGGTTGACGTTTCGTCAAACACATAGGACGTAGGTCCAATGTTGAATCTTGTTCGACAAAGAAATTGGTACTCGGCTACTCCTCTTGCTCCAAAGGTTACAAGCAACGAAATCTCACCCATCCACGCTCTCATATTCAGTAACATAGATAGTTGAGCAGTGTATGTGATCGTCAAGGGAGGTGTTTTATTACCATGTGGAGCCAGAAGCGCCACAGGCAGATGGTAAGACACGATCACTGGGGTTTGCGGTCCTAGACAGTAACGGCGGCGCACGATCCCGTCTACTGCCTCAAAGGTTTCAGCTTCACTTAGCAAAACCCTAAACCCGAAATCTACTGGATCAGTGAAAAACTCCCACTCTTGTATCATATTTTTCTTCCAAACTCCTTTCCAAAACCGCACACATCGAACCATGCTACAAAACAAAACACACCAGAAATAAATAAAAAATTAGTAACGGTCGTAGATTACAAAAACCTCATGCATTTGACCTACATATAACCTATTGCATGTACGCCAAAACAAAGCACCAGTAAACAAAGATATTTAGCTACGGCCTTATATTGTAAAAACCTCATGAATGTGACATTATATATCCGATTGCATGTACGCCATTAATATCAGGTGGCCAATAATGATTAGTTAACAGAGCAATGAATATACTATGGTTTCAAATCGAAACAAATGCACGATCGAAGAACATTAATGAATGAACGTAATTCTGGACAGAAACTAATACACTATCGAAGAACATTCTAACATCTAAGAGTTAATTTTTGTATTAAATACCTTTATTTTTTTCTGTAGATTCTCTGTGTTTTTTATGACCTTTGCTTGCCGTTTACCTTCCTTATATAGAGGAAGCCACCAAAAAATTTTGATCCAACTCCCCCACATAAACTTTCTGCAACCCGACAGAGTATCTTTTCGCGTCGATTTTCCTCTACATGCAGACGTTGTGACACTGCAAGAAAGCTTGTCATTGGTCATCTTGTTATTTAGCCGCCCTAACCTAATAAAACGGGGGATTTTACTCTAGGTCAATCATTACAACTTTTCCCAATTTTCTTATTTATTTATTTTTATCAAAATAATTACATTTTACCTGCTAGCAACCGTGTCACCTGTTATGCACTCGATGTTTGTATCTTTGGCGTAAGGTTATACTGGACATTTCACTCAATTTCGATTTTGCCTTCTCCCNCCCCCCCCCCCCCAATTTCTTTGGCTTAGGCAGTTTCCTAAATTGTATATTCTTACACGATTTACACCAAATTAACTCTAAAAAGAATTAATATATACATTTATATTTAAAATAAAAGATATCAAACAATATTTGGATTAAAATAGTTATAAAAATATGAAATATATTTAATAAATTTTGTTAGTAATGAACCAAATAAAAAAAATCCCACATTTCATGAGTCATGATTTTTCTTTTAGTATGATAGATGACTATTCTGACTTTTTGATACAGTGAATATCAGATGGACATTCTAAATTATAATGTTTGATGATATTTATTCCAATACGGCTACAAGAATTTAGAGTAAGAATGCAGTAAATATCTATTTTACACCGACTGTCTCTGCAATAACTCAAAAGCTTTGGCAAGAACCGGCATGAACCGGTTTATATCAACGGTCACGTTCTGCCCTACCAAATAGGTCGACTTAAACGCCGTCCACCCGCGTCTCGCAACCGCCGATGGATACCTAACGACCTCGTGATCGCGTCCGTACTGCTGCGCAAGCGAGCTCTCCTCCGCCTTAATCTTATACTCCAAATACCTCATATTCATCCCCTTCGCCGGCCTCCCAAAATACGTATCCGCCAGCCACTCATATCCACCGATCGGAAGAATCTGAATCACCACCGCGTTCTCCGGCAAGAACACCATGTTCGTAAGCCCCGCGCCGTGAACGCCGAGCATCACGTCGCACGAGTTCACCGTCTCCGCGAATCTCGCGACTCCTGTGTTCGCTTCCGCCACCACGACTTCGAATCCGATTCCTCCCGCCGCGTTCGCGATCTCCTCCGTGTTCGTGAACGATCGTGACCTAGCTCTCGATAAAATCAGGATCCGTGGCTTTCGCGGCGGACTCTCTCCGGTGCTCACGGCGGCGTTTCTCAGCGAGTATGCGTCTCTTAGGAACCTCCGGAAATCGGACATGGAATATTCCGAATAGGAAGGATCAATCGTCAGCTCTTTGAAGTACTCTGGATGGCGTTTGAGACCGACGATGACGGTGGTGAAACAATGCGTTTCATCTTCTCCGTCGATGTAAATCGGATCGTAATTCGAGAGACTCTTCAGTATCTCCTTGAATTTGTTGATCCACGGTTGGTTCTTGTTCGTCACGAGGAACTGGACTTCGCCGTTGAATCTACGCGCCGTCGTGAAAAGAGGAACCACGATGTCGGTGTAGTCGTGGAAGTTGTTCATCGAGTAACCTCCGAGAGAGAAAACAATCGCAGGAACGCTGTGATTCCTAACGCAACGCGATGAAAAATTGGCGTTCTCTAACTGATCAGCGTTTTGTGTTAATTTCACCGTCCATTCTCTAACGCGACTCATGGCCACAAGGTCACCTTTTCGCGCGTAAGGTCTCATTTGCCACGTGGAGTTTCCGGAAAACGCAGACGTGATCGTGGTTAAAATCGTCGCGGATTTACCGTGGACCCTTACGTCGCCGTTTAATTCGCATATCTCTGTTCTTGATTGCTTCTTACATTTTATCGTTTCATTACCGTCTAAACGTTCACCAATAGAAAAAAAAAAACATATTCATACTCATGAAAGTATGATGAAATTGATTAAAACGATTAACAAAAAAAAAGACAATTGTTAAGAATGTGAACCTGAAACAGATTCTTCATTGGAGATTGAAGTGGGTGTAGTACAGTTAAACGAATCAAGATGATTCTTGGGCAAACTTGTGTCGCTGCAAACACTAAGCTTGTCATCTTCAGAACTGGTTAAGCTCTTCGTATTTGTTGCATTTGATGTAATGTTATAGTTGCTCTTAAACGCTTGCGGTTTATGCGTTTCTGTTACTCTCAGCATCCTTAGACCAGTATCCACTGATAATTGCATATTCACTGAACTAAGAAAGAAAAAAAAAACGTTAGTTAATTTTTGTTTCTGCGTTTTCAAAACGCTGTAAAGGGACTTGCCGGTTGGTAAGGGGCTGAGATAGGATTTAAAGACGGTGCAAAGAGTGAAGACGAAGAAAAGAGAGGCAATGAAAGCTCCATAACCAAGTCTCTTCTGCTCGTTTTTGCTAAAACTACGAGAAAGTATTGCATGGTAAAGAAGATCCTTCTCTTTCATTTTTCTGGTCTCTCACGTTACGCAAAACTTTTTATTTTCTTGTGTCGCAAGGAAACTCTAGAACCAGGGTTTACTCGCGAATGTAGAGGTGAATAGATGTGAGAGAGGGAAAGGATTTTTCGTATGGAGTATATATAAAGTCGTCTAGGACATTGTACTCGTGTTCAATGATTGTTTCTGAGAATTCGGGATGGATCACGAACAGAAGTTCTTCGTGCTGAAGATCAAAAGAATATAAAAGTTCAGTTCATTATTAACAAAAAAGACGATTTTATCAATTAATAAGTCTGGGGATTGCCGGCATTGGAGAGTATGGAATTATGGATTTGGTAAGAAGCTTAACGAATGCTCCCCACGTTTCTTCTTCTTAATTAGTTTCGCTTTAAGTAAATTAATGTAATAACACTAAACCATAATATAAAAGTACCGATAACAAATGAATGATACTCCATTTCCTGATATTAATTCCTTTCTTTTGGACTAATTTAATCTTCAAAGACGGCAGCCGTAAGATTTGTTCAATGTGATTATGTCAACCAGCAACTAATATTCATAGGGAGAATAATGTTTCCTACTGGTAATTTTATTTTCTCGTTACAATATAACGCTGAAGACTCCTACAATTAGTATCACTAGATCGTTTTTCCACGGTACGCACGGATAATTATTTTTAAAAATTCATAATTATTTATTTTGTGTTTATATGAAATAATTCATATTTTTATATGTGTTGTTTATGATATAGTTTTACTCTTGCATTTTCGTAATAAGTTTCTAAATTAGTTTACTAAAATACCAAAACAGAATTTAAAATACAAAAACAACAAGATTATTATATTTTGAGCTACATATAGAAGGTGTAGTTCTAATTCATGTATAGAACTTGACTCTTATTTTTCTTTTGAATTCCTTGATCATTTTAAAGATTTAGTTAAGTTTTTGAGAATTATGGTTGAACCTAATTTTTTACTTATATTCAATTTATATGTGTATGTAAATTTGGTTTTATAAATGATATTGTTTGAAATTTTTCTTCTTATTACACAAATTGTGTCATTTTATAATTTCAATATAATTTTAAAGGTTATACCTATTTAACTTAGTATTTATTGTAAAAAATGATTGCTATCTTAAAAATACCTTAATATCTCAATGAATATTAGTTAATCAGATGTAAATATTAGGGATAAACATGAATTCAATTATATTTTGATTTGTGTGAAAAATGTCTAAATGAAAATTGGGGTTTTTGCAAAACCAACCTAAAATTTCAAGTCAAACACAAAACCAACCTCTTTTTTTTGTCATTACTATTCACTCTTAAAAAACCTAAACTCTCCTCATGTTTCCACCTATTTACCAAAACGCCATTATTTTTAAATCTGATTTTATTTTCGAAAATTATAAAAAACCTATTACACCCTAAACATTTCTCCTTATTTACCATAATGCCATTGTCATCAATATTTGCAACCATCCAAAACCACCATTGATGAGCTCTTTAAGCTTGTGTTTATGAAATTTCAACCACTTATTTCACTTTCTAAACAAACAATACTTCATTTCCTCTCATTTCCTCTCTATTTTCATCTAAACATACCTCATAACTCTCATTTTCATAAACACAAACTTCATATTTTCGATTTTATCCACAAGTGGATCGTAAATGTTGCTTCTTTTGCTCATATTTGGATTCTAGACGGTGGAAAAGCTTGGAAACAAGCTTTAAACCGGTGTCAAGGTAACTCTTTACAAGCTTTTCGTCATATCTCTGATCTGTATCGCGAATGTAGACTGTATGATATGTCTACACATACGTGTAGACTTACG